TGTAGAGATGAGGTCTCGTTGCCCAGGCGGGTCTCGAACCCGCGGGCTCAGGCAATCCACTCGCCTCAGCCTCCCAAAGGCGGGGGATTATAGGCTGAGCCACCGAGTCCGGCCTGTCTATTTATTTAATTAATTAATTTTAGAGAACAATTTTCAGTATGTTGCCCAAGTTGGTCTTGAATTATTGGTGTCAAGCAATCCTCCCGCCTCAGCTTCCCAAAGTGGTGGGATTCTCAAAGTGCTGGGATTACAGGCGTGAGCTACCGTTACCAGCCTTTTTTTTCCTTTTAAATTGAGTCAGGGCCTCACTCTGTCACCTAAGCTGGAGTGCAGGGGCATGATCATGGCTCACTGCAGCCTCAGTCTCCTGGGCTCAGGGGAACCTCCCACCTCAGCCTCCCAAGTGGCTAGGACTACAAGTGCATGCCACCACACCCCACCTTTTTTTTTTTTTTTTTTTTTTTTGTGGAGACAAGGTCTTGCTATGTTGCCCAGGCTGGTCTTCAGTTCCTGGGCTCAAGCATTCCTCTTGCCTTAGCCTTACAAAATACTGGGAATATAGGTGTGAGCAACTGTGCCCAGTTGCCAAATTCTTAGTTCTAGTCTTACACTTCTTTAAACTGGAGACTTGTGTGCAGCCATTTTTTTAATTGAATTGAGGGTTCATGGAGTTTTAGTAGAATATGGATAGCTTGAGAAATGCTAGTGTCATCTGTCGCCTGTTTTTCAACCCCAAAACTAAGGCATATCCTTTTCTTTTCTTTTCCTTTTTTTTTTTTGAGTTGGAGTCTCACTCTGTCGCCCAGACTGGAGCGCAGTGGCCGGAGCGGCCACCGCAGCCTCGACCTGCTGGGCTCCGGCGATCCTTCCGCCTCAGCCTTCCAAGTAGCCAGAATTACAGACATGCGCTACCACGCCCAGCTGATTTTTGGTTTATTGTAGGGATGAGGTCTTGCTGCCCAGGCGGGTTTCGAACCCGCGGGCTCAGGCAATCCACTCACCTCAGCCTCCCAAAGGCACGGGATTATAGGCTGAGCCACCGAGCCCGGCCACATCCTTTTCTTGATCATCTCTCTTCTTCTTCCCAGCATAACTGATAGACTTTTTAATTATATGTAGCATTTTGCATGATTTTGGACATTTGTCTTCTCTGAGGCCTGTATTTTCATTGAGTCTTATTTCCATTCTTCCTTATTTCCACTTTGTATTTTTTATATATGTCAATCAATGTGACAAGCCATCTCTACTTGTCTTTCCTTTTTGTGTCATCAATGTCACTTGCAGTTGTGTGCATACAAAACTCTGAAAATATAATACAACATTCGTGAATTGTCCTTTCAGAATGCAATGGAATCATGCTTCTCCTTTCTTGAAATTATGTTTGAACCCATCTTCATAAAGTCTAAGATATACTTAATGATTCTGGCAGATTGGCCTTCCCTGGCCTTCAGAATTACACAGTTGTCTTCTCCCAAGGTTACTGATGTTTTCTTTCAGTTTTTTCTTCTCTGTGGGAGTTGAATTCACAGTAGTATTTCCCTAGTGGCTTTCTCTAATCTCTTAAAAGATGAAATTCTCCAGAAGAGAAGCCAAAAACAGCATCAGAAATGGAGTTACTTGCTTAAGGCGGCATCACAAAGGCCATCATGTATAGCTGACTTTGTAGCCTGGAGCAAGTTGCTTCATTGTTCTGGGTCTCACCTGTAAAAAACTGTCAACAACAGCTTGAGCTCCAACTCCATGCGACACTAAGATTCCATGCTTGTAATGTAACCTAGGTACCCAAGGTTTCTCCTGTGGCTGAGAAGTCTCAGGATAGGTGCACAGAGAACTCAGGGCAGTAGATGCAGCAGTAGTTCTAGAGCAGTCACTGAATTACCAAGGGCATGCCCTACGCCTGGGCCAGACTTGCTCACCCAAGCATTGTATTTCTTCCAGCGCCATGCTTGTTGAGATATTCCTCAATCTTTTGAGGCTGCTGTTGTTGTTATTGATGGTGATGACAGACCATAACTTATAATCATAATAAGACTGCATGTTAATGACTCTCCAGATGCTGATATAAGTAACAATTTGCACAGCACCCGAACCTGCATCAGCCACACAGAAATCTATACATGCATATGTGTTCTTTCTCTTAAGGCCCCGGCAGCTCTCATTGCTAGTGACAAGTACTGTATCTTACAGATGACAACAAGCACAGAGTGGTTAAGAAGCTAGTCCAGGGTTACACATATTGTGGTAGGAAAGCTAGGTAGTCTGGCCCACATCTATCATCTGTGTCCTTCAGAGAAACCTGGGCCGTCTACCTCCAAAACCCTGCATTCCAAACATGCCACTCCTCAGCAGCATTCTCTGTGTCTCAATCCAGCCCATTAGCTTCCAGTCCCTGATGGATACTTGTATACTCTGCCTTTCTCTGGTAAGGCTTAATTGTAATGTAGCATTGCTTTTGTGGCCAGTATAACCTCTTTTTTTTACCCATTTCAGGTGGTACTAAGTTGAAACTATGCATGGTGTTGTGACAAGATACTGCAGTTACTATGGCATGATTGATGATTTGATCTACTTCTCCAATGATGCTGTGACTAGCAAAGTGATTCTGAATGTTGGACAGGAAGTTACTGCAATTGTGGAAGAAAATAAAGTATCAAAGAAACTGAAAGCAATCAGAGTAAGTAAAGTTTCTGTTCATTTGGGAACAGTCTGTCCACCATGGGACATCATGTCGCTTTCCAGTTGTTTGGTTAATCACTCAGATGTGACCTTGTCAAGGGGGAAGAATGGAATGTGATTTCAAGGAGGTGCCTTTGTTCTTTGTAATTACTGGGGTTTTTTTTTTTGTGTGTTTTTTTTTTTTTTTGAGTCAGAGTCTCACTCTGTCACCCAGGCTGGAGTGCAGTGCAAGCTCATGGCAATTCCAGCGTCAGCCTGCTGGATTCAGGTGATCCTTCCGCCTCAGCCTTCCACGTAGTCATAACTACAGGCGCCTGCTACCATGCCCGGCTAATTTTTTTGATAATATTGTAGAGACGAGGTGTCACCAAGTTGCCCAGACTGGTCTTGAACCCCTGGCCTCAGGCATTCCTCTCACCTCCACCTTCCAAAGTGCTGGGATTACAGGCTTGAGCCTCTGTACCCGGCCGTATAATTTCTGTTTTAAAGAATAAACGATAGTCATTGTAAATCATTAAAAAAGTATAGAAATTTGTAATTCAGAAAGTAAAGTTTGCCTTTAAATTTATGCTGTAGCCGGGCTCGGTGGCTCAGCCTGTAATCCTGCGTCTTTGGGAGGCTGAGGTGAGTGGATTGCCTGAGCCCCCGGGTTCGAGACCCACCTGGGCAGCGAGACCTCATCTCTACAATAAATCAAAAAATCAGCCGGGCGTGGTAGCGCATGCCTGTAATTCCGGCTACGTGGAAGGCTGAGGTGGAAGGATCGCCGGAGCCCAGCAGGTCGAGGCTGCGGTGGCCGGGAGCGGCCGCTGCACTCCAGTCTGGGTGACAGAGTGAGACTTCAACTCAAAAAAAAAAAAAAAATTTATGCTGTGGAGAATGCTTAGCAGTTCTATATCTTTCCTTTCAGTGTTATAAAAAATTGTTTAAAATGATAATGAACCCTTTGCTACCTAATTAGCAGAGATAATTAGTGTACTCTGTTATTCAGCAGCTTCCTTTCTCTTGTAAAAATACTATTTCATAGTATAAATTTATGGAATTAGAATTGCCAGGTCAAAGGGTATGCAGATTTAACAATTTAATGGTTGTCATCAAATTAACATCCACTAATGCACAGTTTGTGTGCTCAGGAGTAGAATGAGAGACTCCCTGTTACCCAGTGTTGACAAGGATATGGATATTATCAACCTTTGAAATCTTTATCAGTCTGAGAAATGGTGATCTCATAATTTTAATCTGCACATAAGCTTTAAAGTACCTTAAATTTTCACATATTTTTCTATGAATGTCCTTTTTCCATTTTTTTTTTTTGTTGAGTTCAGGTTTTTCTCTTTATTAAATCTTATATATTAGGGAAATTAGAGCTTTTATTTTAAGAGATGGAGTTGCCTAGGCTGGGGAGCAGTGGTACTCACAGCAGCCTCTAACTCCTGGGCTCAAGCAAACCTCCTACCTCAGCCTCCTGAGTGGCTGGGACTAAAGGTCTGAGTCACCATGCCCAGTGAAATTAGAGCTTTTCAAGGAAAATTATAATAAAAATGTGTTATAGATAGTTTTCCCAGGATCTTTTGACTGTGTTTTATAGAGTTTTATTTTATGTAGTTAAACATGTCTATCTTTTTCATGTGACTTTTGGACTCTGTAAAAATCCTTAGCGAAGCTTATTCTACTACTAATTGCTAATATTTACTCAGATTTTCCTCTGAAAATTATTTGTTTCTTGACATTTGAATAGTTAATCTGCCTGAAATTTGTTTTGCTAAACAGGCTGAGAGAAGGAACCAGAATTTTTTTTCTTATGGCTAGCCAGTAATCCCATTGAGTCACTTCTTTCCTACTGATTTGGAAGACCCCTTTATTATACACAGGAATCTCTCTTACATGCCACTGTCAGTCCTGATGCTTGTACCAGAGACCCTGGTGCCATAGTTGCTGTTATAGGTGGTAAGCAGGTTTCTCTTCCTACTCTTACTTGTGGATGGAATTTTTCTGGCTCTTCTCATATTCTGGATGAGTTTTAGAATCGTTTTGTTGTTTCTCCTCCTCTGCTGAGAAGAATATGCATTGGATGGATCTGAGTTTATGGATTTCATTTAGAATAGTCAATATTTGGATCATACAGCATTTTCTCCAATCACAAATTATGCCTATCCATTTATTTAAGCCTTCCTTTGAATTCTTTTTATGGTTCAATAGTTTTCTTCGTTTAGGTTCTGTCAATTTCTTAAGTTTATTTCCAGAAATGCTTATGTGTTTTTCTATTATCAATATAATTTTACATTTTATTTGCAAATTAATATTTTTTCTATATAGAAAAGTTTTATTTAATGTAATTTGAAATGTGGAAAACTTACTGAGCTCTTACCTCCTTTATAAAAATGCTTGAGATGTACTTTATTACTGCTATAGTAACTGCTATCTTAATATTCTTTTTCTCACTTTTAACAAATGACATACATATCAAAATAAAATAATAAATTCTAGAATTGCATTGTTCAGTATAGAAGCTACCAGCTATGTTTGGCTGTTCAAATTTATTAAAACTAAATTCAATTTACAGCCCGCCACAGTGGCACAAACTTATAGTCCCAGCTACTTTGGAGGTTGAAGCAGGAGGATCTCCTTGATACCAGGAGTTTGAGATCAACCTGAGCATAAAAGGTACCCTGACTCTTTAAAAAAAATTAAAAAGCTGGCAAACAATGAATACATTTTAAAATTAACTTGGCAATTTAATTGGCCACACTTCAAGTGCTAAATGCTAAGTGTAGCTAGTGACTACAAATAGAGAACACTTTCATCATCCCACGAAGTCCTTGGATAGTTCTAGCCAGACGCTGTGAAATGAAAGGTAGAACCTCCCTCCATGCTCTCTATCTGCACTTCCATGCCTTAGACTTGATGCTTTTCTTGGTTTCTGTTTTAAGCTCTTCTGATAAGTGCTTGAGTCACTTGAACAATATGCTTATATCTTTTATTAATTTACTATCTATAGTAATTATTGACTCCTTTTATGAGAGCTTTAGTACTGGCTTATTCACACTATTCTCTTTTTTCCTATTCTACTTTTTAATATATATTTTCCTCTAATGATTTCCTTTGTAACTTCAAATACACCATAGTCTTCATGATTTTACATGTATTAAAATACATTTTGTGGTTTCAGAATTGTACAAAGGGATCTTGGACTCAGAACCTGTGGAGCTGATGCTTACCTAGTTCTCAAGCTATAATCAGAGGGCTCACGTGAGGTCTTTTCAGAGAAGGTTCTCTCATCAGATTCCTATCGATCTTAGGATATACTGTTCATTTAATAACAAAATTTTGAAATGCAAACTTGGATCATAGGACTTACCCTGATCTTAGAATGTTAAAATGTGGAAGAAGAGGCACCTAAGTATCCAAAAAGTCTGGGTCCTATTAGTAGTCAGCTGTCCTTTGCTTGTTTCCATTTTTCAAGGAACCCAGGACCTTTTCTGCTAAAGAATATTCATTTCTACTCACAATTCTTGTTTCAATGAGTCAGTAATAGAGTTTTCAAGTACTTTTCAGCATCTTACAGATAATCCTATAGTTTCTGTTAACTACTAATATGGTGAAAAATATGAATAGTTTCTTTACCATAAGCCATTCTTTATGAGAATGATGCCCATTTGGTATAAACTTCAATGTACTTCTGGATTTACTTTTTATTTAGGGTTTTTTCTTGTGGTAAAATAGACATAAAAATCATATTTAAGTGTGCATTTCAGTAGCATTAAGTACATTCACATTGTTGTGCAACTGTCAGCACTATCTATTTTTAGAATCTTTTAGCATCCCAATAGAAACTCTGTGCCCATTAAACAATTATTCAATGTTCTACCTTGTCTCTATGAATTTTCCTATTCTAATTACATCATATAAATAGAATAATGCAATATCTGTTGTTTTATGTCTAGCTTATATGACCTAGCTTGATGTTTTTAAGGTTCATTCATGTAGCGTGTATCAAAAGTTCATTCCTTTTTATGGCAGAATAATATCGCATTGTATGGATAAATCACATTTTGTTTCTTTGCCTGTTGATGACCATTTGGGTTGTTTCTATCTTTTGGCTATTGTGAATAATGCCACTGTGAACAAGTATCTGTTTGACTCCCTGTTTTCAGTTCTTAGGGGTGAAATTCCTGGATTTTATGGTAAGTCTATGTTAAATTTTTGTACAGCTAACTTTTTTCCATAGTAGCTACACCATTTTATGTTTCCATGAGCAGTACATAAGGGTTCCACTTTCTCTACATCCTTGCTAATACTTGTTATTTCATTTTTTGACAATAGCCATTCTTAGTGGATATGAAGTGGTATCTCACTGTGTTTTTGATTGATATTTTTCTAATGATTAGTGACTTAGAGCATATTTAATGTACTTATTTGCCACATGTCTATTCAGATCCTTTGCCCATTTTTAAATTGGATTGTTCTCTTGTTGCATTGTAGGGATTCTTTATATATTCTGCATGTTAATCTCTTATTAGATATATGATTTGCAAATATTTTACTCATTCTGTCAGTTGACTTTTTCACATTATTATTATTAATATTATTATCATTATTAGAGACAAGGTCTTGTTTTGTTGCCCAGGGTCTCCTTTTGTTGCAGTGGTGTAATCATAGCTTACTGCAGCCTCATACTCCTGGGATTAGTCAGTACTCCTGCCTCAGCCTCCAAAGTAGCTGGGACTACAGGTGTGTGCCACTACACTCAGATAACTTTTAAAATCTATTTTAGAGACACAGTCTCACTATGTTGCCCAAACTCATCTTGAACTTTTGGACTCAAGTGAGCCTTACACCTTGGCCTCCCAAAGGGTTACGATTACAGGCATAAGCCATTGCGCCTTGTCTTCACTTTCTTAATAGTGTCCTTGAATGCACAGAAATTTTAAAATTTGCTGAAGACTAATTTGTCTCTTTTTAAAATTGCCCGTACTTTTGACATCACACTTGAGAAAACATTGACTAATCCAAGATCATGATGATTTCCTTAATGTTTTCCACTAAAAGTTTTTTAGTTTTAGCTCTTAAATTTAAGTCTGATCCATTTTGAGTCAATTTTTCTACAAGATATAAGGTAAGGGTCTAACTTCATTCTTTTGCATATGGATATCATTTCCCCAATGTTATTTTTAAAAGACTGCACAAGAGAGAATGTGTATTCCCTCTTGATGGTCTTTGTCAAAAATCAATTGACCATATATGCAAGGGTTTATTTCTGGTATCTCTATTCTGTTTGTCTGTATTTCTGTCCTTACACCAGTGCCACACTTGTTTGATGACTGTAGATTTGTAGGAAGTTTTGAAATCAGGAGGTGTGAATCCTCCAATTTTGTTATTTTTCAAGACTGGCTATTCAGGGTATCTTGAGATTCCATATAAATTCTAGAATGGGTTTTTATTTTTATGTAGAAATACATACAGAAGATTTTGATAGGAATTGCATTGAATTTGTAAATCACTTTGGGTATTGTCATCTTAACAATATTAAGTTTTCCAATTCATGAATATGGATGACTTTCTGTTCATTTGAGTCTTTAATTTCATTCATCAATGTTTTGTAATTTTCATTGTACAAGTCTTCTATTTACTTGGTTAGCTTAATTTGTAAGCATTCTATTCTTTTTCATGCTATTGTAAATGGAATTGTTTTCTTAATTTCCATTTTGGATTCTTCATTCAAGTATATAGAAATAAAACTGATTTGTATATGTGGACTTTGTATCCTGTTGCTTTGCTAAATTCATTTATTAGCTCTGACCATTTTTAATTTTTATTTTGTGCATGGAATCTTTGGAGTTTTCTCTCTAGATAGACCATGATTTCTGTCAGTAAAGATAATTTTGCTACTTCTTAACAATTTAAATGCTTGAGGTGAGAATGGGCATCCTTTCCTTGTTCCTAATCTTTGGGGAAAGCTTTCACCACTGAGTATAATTTTTGTTGTGGGTTTTTCATTTATGACCTTTATTATGTTGAAGAAGTTTCCATTCCTAATTTATTGAGTGTTTGTGTTGTGAAAAAGTGTTTAATTTTGTCAAATGATTTTGTGCCTCAATTGAGATGATAATGTGATTTTTTTTCCTTTGTTTGATTAATATAATGTATTATGTTGACTGATATATGTCAACATATGTTTAACTACCTTTGCATTCTGGCATAAACCCCACTTAGTCACGGTATATAATAATTTTAGTATGCTGCTGTATTCAGTTTGCTAATATTTTGTTGAGAATTTTTGCATCTATACTCATGAGGAGGGATTGCTATAGACTCAATGTTGGTGTTCCCTCCAAATTTTTATGTTGAAATGTGAGCCCCCTAATATAATGTTATTAAGAGGTTTTAATAGGGAATTGGATCACAAGGGGAGAGTATTTATAAAACAAACCCCAGGGAACTCCTTTGCCCCTTACACCATGTGAAGACACAGTAAGAAGACACCATTTATGAACCAGGAAGTGAGCCCTCACTAGATACCAGATTTTCCGACTCTTTGATCTTAGACTTCCAACCCTAATGAAGTAAAACAGAGAAGCTCTCTTGTAGTTACTTTTCTTGTAGTCCTTGTGTTATGGTTTAAAGAGTGGTTTGTTTGTCTTACAGGTGGAAGCTATTTCTAATCAACAGGGAGACAAGAGCAAAAAACACAGCAGAGAGCTTTCCAACTCCAGCCCCCGAGTGTTGATTGGCTGTGTGACTTCCTTGATTGAGGGTGCTGGCTCCATCAGTCAGACCACGAACTTCTCTCTGGAAAGTGTCTGTAAAGGTACATTAGAGGGGTCTCGTTCACATTTAAAATTAGATTTTGTGACATTTTTTAAAGAGACAAAGACTCCACCCTGTTGCCCAGGGTGGAATGCAGTGTCATGACCATAGCTCATTGCAGACTCAAACTCCTGGCTTAAGTGATTCTCCTACCTTAGCTTTCTGAGTAGCTGGGAATAAGGAGGCACATGCCACCATGGCCAGCTAATTATTTTATTTTACTTTTGAAGATATGGGGATCTCACTATGTTGCCCAGGCTGGTCTTGAATTCCTGGCCTCAAGAGATCTTCCCACCTCCATCTTCCAAACTGCTGGAATTACAGGCATGAGCCACTGCACCTGGCTAAGGTTTTGTGTCTTTTAATTAACTTTTGTGGATTAGGGTTGAGATGGGTACTCTCACACATCATTGAAAGGGCCAGATTTGGGATGTTTTATTTGTTGAAAGGGATTGGGGACTATAATGGCTTTTCTGGGTGCTGGTTTCATGCAGAGGCTCACAAATTTGGATAGACTTTGGGCCTCGGGTTGGCGGGGGGGAAGTCACTGTTTCAACTTGTGCTCTCATTAGTCTTTGTTCATTTGTTGAATGTGGGCACTAATATCTGAGTAATTGTTCTTCCATATAATTATTGAATAACTAATCTAAGTCAGTGGTGTTACAGGTAAACAGAAGTATTGTTCTTTTCAAAGTAATTTAGATATTCTAAAATAGACCTTGGAGATAACCTTCTATCTTTCCAAGGTTATATATTCATTTTTATTATTTATGTGTTTTACAGTCAGGGTACAAGTACATATTTATTACATGGACATAAAGTGTAGTGGTGGGGACTTGGTTTCAGGTGGCCCATTCTCCAGCTAGTGAACATTGTACTGATAGGTAATTTCTGAACCCTAACCTCTCTCCACACCTCCTCTGTTACTGGTGTTCCTAGTGTCTATTATTTCTATCTTTGTGGACATTAAGCTAATGCATATAAGTGAGAACATGCAGTGTGTGGCTTTCTGTTTCTAAGTTAGTTCATTAGAGTGATGTTCCTCACCTCTGTACATATTGCTGAAAAAGAACTAATTTCAATATTTTTTATGGCTGTATAGTATTCCATGGTGTGTGTGTGTGTGTGTGTGTGTATACACACCACATTTTCTAAAACTTTGTTTTTAATGCCTAAAGAAACAATTTCTTAGTGCCATTTGTTGAGTTGAATTCAGTACCTGTTTATTGTCACTTGATGCTGGTACGGTGGTGGGTATGAGACTAGACACTTGGAGACCACAATGAGTGAGGCACAACTCGTTGTTCTCAGGAGAAACAGACCTACTATACACAGTGATAGGGCAGGAGTTGGAAAAGCTGACTGGGGAGGTGATTTGTGAGCT